CAGGACTTCGAAAGCACTCCGCCCCCAAAAGCGATCCGCCCACTAGTTTACTTGGTGATTTGGACGAGCTGCGTTGCCAGCAGCGGCACAACTGGAGCAACTCGATTGGAGCGTGGTTTGGCATGGTGCCACCAAACGCGTTGCGATGAACTCGTTCATACGTCCGCTTTCTGAGCTGTTACCTGTTCATGAGTGAAAACCAACGGCCAAAAAGGGGTCCCGTTTTGCGTTTTCTTGACGGATTTCTCCGCTTTTTTCGCCACTGGCGTACCATTGAGCACCACCACGTCTCCTTTAAACCTTTCTTGAATATATCGTAATCGCTACCCTTAACTTAATCAGTAGTGCTCCGAAATTTTCTTCTTTTTTTCCATAGATTTTTCTCAACGTGTTGAACTGGTGACAAAATTATACAGCACAGCTGAGTTTGGAAGTTGAAGCCATGCACCAGCAAAGCAGCGCCGAACCAACCTGTACAAGGTTATCCCCAAGGTGCTATGTTGGGAACTAGACTCGGGTGGAAGGATTGTATCTATCTATCTACCTATCTATGCGACAAGACTTTCCCCCGTAGGAATTTCGTATAATCTGACCACTCGCCGAGCCGGCCGCTAAGGCTAAAGTCATGTAGCAGCTGTTTAGCTTCCTTTTGTATCGAATTCTTTGCATGTGAATGCTTCAGAAGGGCGAGCTCTGTCACTTCCAGTTTGTCTACAAGTTCTTACAACGTTGTAATTTTACAATTCAATGGAATTTTTCAGCTGGTCTGGACTATCTAAACCATTAATATCAAGCTCACACCTTCTAAATTGTTGAATCAAAATCTACAAATGGCCTGCTCAGCGGCCTGGTAACAATATCGGCTCCAGTAGGTCTTCGTCATTTTTAAGTCTTTGCTTCCATGTTGGTTCCATTGCATTGCCTTCATCATCCACCCTTTCTACTGCTTGATTTTCTTAATCTTCCTTCCGAAATAATATGATATTCAGCAAATCTTTGCCTGCCTAAGTATACAGAAGAGTGGAAAAGAAAATGGTCGTAAATAGTCCATAGCGGGCGAGACAAGTTGGTGTCATCACATTTCTAGTTGCTGAAGGAACGTGTTCTCGATCGCCGCGATGAGTATAGTTAGCTGGAAAAATGAAGGCAATTCAAGATACGGAATGAAACCGGTGCTTCAAGGGAATTTGGAGCAAATGGACTCAATCCATCACAAATGGTCGTCAAATATGTATACTCACTTGGAAAAGCCATTTGTCTGCTGACCGTTGTGCTGGTGAACCAAAAGCGAAAATCTTAGCCTGTTGTGGTGACATTAGCCATTGTATATGAAGAAAACGAGTAAGACGATAGATCTGTAAACATCCATTCCTTTAGGATGAAAGGCTCATAATTTCAACCAATAGAGCTCAATTCAAGGATCAGCACCGCGATTCTCAAAAAGTAATTATACGGTTATAAATATCGAATAGTTGACCTCAAGTGACCATCGAAAAGATTCCTGGATTTCAAAAAGGTTTCTGTAAACTCATTGGCTCATCCCACATATGTAAGGCTTGAAGACAAGAAGCGAAAGTGAGGGTGCTAAAGGGTAAAGCGTGCGTTGAGGAATCCTCGACAGGTCGGCAGGGGGGGGGGTCGTATTGGCCCGCTGGGAGGAAGAGATCGGGGCTGATGATGAAGTAGGATCATCACTGTCGGAGGACAAACATCAAGGATCGAAAATCATGCCATGGAAGGCGAGAGGATTTCCGATCACAAAGTTGAGATTCGCCAAACAGCTTTACACTTGTTGAGAAGAAAAAATGCTCCTGCCTCTGGGGTAGGGGGGGGGGCGTACTCCAAAATTTTCCTCGACGCCTCACTTGAACCTGGTACTAATGTCCGTAGAAACCACTGAAACCCTAGGCCGTGGAATCGAGAACATAAGCAATTTTGAGCACGCCCCGAAAGAGTACACAAAGTGGAAGAAGATAAAAGGAATTTTGACATGATTACTCAATCGACGTTTTTCTACACATAGCTGTAGGAAAGGTACGCGAACAAGTTGAGCTTGCCATTATGTATACAGCTTCGTGGTAAAATTCGGGGACAGTATATGTATGATCGCAGTACATGAATAGTATGATGTACTGCCGACTTGTGGCCTATCTAATGTTACGGTTAGTCTGCTGTGGCTGCTTAGTGTTTGATTTCCGAGGGTGGCTGCGACCTTTGGTCTGATTGTGAAGAAAGATGCTCAGTTTTCGCGGCCCCTTAGAAAGCCGATCCCAACTGAAATTAACAACGAATAAAGTCTCTCATGAATTGTGTTGAGTTCAATAGAGAATAAAGTAGCCTCCCCTTCAAAAAGCGAGAAAGTGTCGGGTGCAGACCAAACACCACAACTGACGACGGCCTCCAAGTAAATCTGGTTAGAAGTTGTTCATAGTGATAGCTGATTTCTGGTAAATGATAGTTGTAATTAGTGACAATCGATAGAATACAACTGCAACAGGCTAATCATTTCATTGGCAGAAAACATTAACATTTTGTGAAGGCCGTCGTCACTTGTGGTGCATGGTCTGCACCCGACACTTTCTCGCTTTTTGAAGGGGAGGGTACATTTCGATGAGGATAGCATACAAGACGCAAATCCCCCGAGCATTCAGTCTCGCGGTCCACTGCCGATGTCGACTAACCGGCTCATCACCTTAGGGTTGTGTGTAGTGATAAAGCTAAGAGTGAAATATACATCCAAAGTCAAATTATGGTCTCATATGCCCGCAGTAGTGTACACAATACACTAGTGAGCAAGAAGAGCGGGTTTTAATTTCGCCTGACACGAAAGTCTTGCCATGGACTATTCTCATGGAATTGTCATGTGGCCTTCAGAGAATCATTCAGTTAATATAGAAAACGGTTGTCAGCTCAGTAGCCAAGAAAAGCGCAATCGTACCAATTCTATTGACCGGGTCGACCTGTTTACCTAAGGTAATGTGCCTTTTCCTAACAGCATGTACTGGAATGTTTGAGTAATACATTAGCGATTTTTTGGAAATCGCGCAGAATTAGAATGACTGAAAATTAGAATGACTTCCAGAAGTATTCAACAGCGATACTCTTCCTAGAGGCTCCAAGTTGTTCAGTTTTGAGAAACTTTCTTTTTTTTTCTGTTTTACTTGCGGCCACTTATGTAACATATTTCCAGGCATGATATGTTCAGCGATATCCCTGTTGAACCCGCGAGGCAAAGATCTTGCCTGCTCAGATAGCCAAGGACACACTTGGAGGCAAGAATCAAGGCTCAAAAAGTGGGTTATGTGTCTGAAGTATTGTCCGAAATTTATGAGAATGAGCTAAAGCCATTACCAAATCTGTTCACTTGCTCCTGCACTCGAATTTGAGCGGCCATAGCAAAATATACGTCTACCCAAAGCTTGCCCTGTCACCAAAGTCTACCGAATGAAGGTCAACATCCGTAAAATCGAATACGATAGGAACAAGAACAACAACTACAGATGAGGTGTGTGTGAACCCTTCATTTTGTGGGCAGAATAGAGTAGTCGACGAGTATCGCAGTGGTGCCGTTGTCGCGGCTCGAAAGTGCACGACAGTAACGCTAGGGCCTTACAAAGTGAGCTAATGAGGGTTAATGCGAACTAATAGACGAGATACCTCGCGGCACAGCTCAGCGTGGATTATGACGTGACGACTAATTCGAATGCGCGCGGTTAGTGAAGTCATGGGGCAAGCAAGTTAGCCAACTCGTCCGGACACACCCATACCTCATTTCAAGAGAAAGAATGGGAGTCCTTGTTTGAGGGCCCCACCGGCAGTCTGGTGGGTTCCTTTTCTTTTTCAGCCAACTCGGCATCCGCAGCTTCATTATCGACCGCCGCTATCCCACCAATTTGATCTGGGGTTGTTGCGTATCAAGTCAGAGTTAAGAGAGGGGTGGAAATTTGAGCTGTGTCCAGGTCCCGGATTCACTGCTAGGCATTTTGTCGGTGCGAAATAACGCGCCTGGTTCTCCTAGCACATACCTTTTAATATGGGAGCTTATTCAAACCATAACAGCCATACATTTCTCCAAGCTAGTAGATGGTTAGGTCTGGGCTATGTGAAGTGAAAAATCTGGGTATTGCGGAAAAGCAGAACTTTCATACAGAACTATAAAAATACCGTATACTTTACCTAGAAGCAAGAAACCGTCTTCAGAATTGGGCGCAAGCGAGTGGGCTGGCACCAAACCCAAGATGGGGATGTTTCCGTTGATGAACTCTTTCGATAATTAGGCCTGACAGCTAAACGTCGCCATTGTCAGATGTTACAGAATTACCGCATTACGAGCCGCTCCCGTCATGACCAAATCGGCGCTTACCAGTTGCTTAGACTGGATTTGTCGTCGGGAATGCAGGCGTTTAAGGAGAGTTTCTCCAGATCTCTCCCGCTCTCTCATCCATGACCATCACATCCACTTTCTCACCCAATCTTTTCCAGCTAGTCAGCACATGATTTATTGCCTTTTCTCAGTATAAAGCTCCCGATCGGCATGGGTAGCAGCACCGACGATCGCCTTCCTTCTTACATCCAATAAAAAACTTACAGCCCCCTTTAGGGGGTACCACAGTGACAGTCATTTACAGTAACTAGTGAATTTAACAATAAAATATAGTCCAATCAGAGTGATATTCCATTTCAAAACTACAAAATTCCAAATTTGTATTTCTACGTTACATATTTATGTTTATCCTTATGATTGTTCCACTTTCGCATGATCAACTGAGTTAGCACAGCCTGTCATGGTCCTACTTCGCTTCCATCTCTTGGAGATACCTTGACAATCGTTTTGCAGATGAAGCTCATCGTCTTCGCAGTGCTTGTGGGTGCTGTCTACTGTATTCCTGTCGACAACGGGGTTGAAGGTGAACCCGAGGTGGAGTGTGGGCCCACAGCCATAACTGTCAACTTCAACACCAGAAACCCATTCGAAGGACACGTCTACGTCAAGGGTCTTTATGATCAGAAAAGAGTGCCGAAACGATGAAGGAGGTCGACAGGTGGCTGGAATCGAGTTGCCATTCGACTCTTGCAATACTGCCAGAACCAGGTGAACTTCACAGTCAAACAGAATTCTTTTGAGCTCGTATCAATTCGTGTTGTTCAGATCCCTCAATCCTCGTGGAGTCTTCGTCTCGACTACCGTTGTCATCTCTTTCCATCCACAATTCGTGACAAAAGGTCGATCGAGCATACAGAATCCAATGCTTCTACATGGAGTCTGACAAGACCGTCAGCACCCAAATCGAGGTCTCTGACCTGACCACCGCCTTCCAGACACAGGTTGTACCAATGCCCATCTGTCGTTACGAGATTCTCGATGGAGGACCATCCGGACAGCCCATTCAGTTCGCCACCATCGGTCAACAGGTTGAAAACAGCACTTGCAAGTGTCGTCTTTTGCATTCAACTCGATTCCTTTCAGGTGTACCACAAGTGGACTTGTGATTCCGAGACCACCGACACCTTCTGCGCCGTCGTCCACACCTGCACTGTTGATGATGGAAACGGTGATACAGGTCCAGATCTGAAACGAGGACGGATGCGCCCTTGACAAGTTCCTCCTGAACAATCTCGAGTATCCTAGCGATCTGATGGCAGGCCAAGAGGCTCACGTCTACAAATACGCAGACAGGTCACTTCATACTGAACCATCAGCTCAAAGAGCTTAGCCCACCCCCACGATGATAGTACCGGGTTTTCTATACACCTTTTTCAGATCACAACTGTTCTACCAGTGCCAGATCAGTATCTCAATCAAGGTACCGATTCTTTGAAAGAAATATCCAAAATTTTTCTCATGTGCAAATTTTAGGACCCCGGAAGTGAGTGCCCTCGTCCACAGTGCGCTGAGCCCACTGGTTTCGGAGCCGTCAAGCAGGGAACCCCTAAAACTGATGCAGTTGCTGCTGGTGCTGCTGCAGGAGCACCCGGAGCAGTGGAAGCTGCTGGAGCAGCTGGAGGAGCCGCAGGTGGAGCTGCCGGTGGTGCAGCCGGTGGAGCTGCAGGAGCCGTTGGGGCAACCAGAGGAGCTGCAGCTGGAATTGCTGCCGGAGCTGCACAGTTGAGACTGCTAAGAAAGAGAGCAGTCAACAATGAGGCAATTCTGGATGTTCGAGCTGAGATCTCAGCAAATTGAGATCACCGACAAAAACCAACGTAAGTGAACAGTATTTTCCGCAGATCCTTATTTGACCACTATGAAAGTACTGCTTCAGGACTCGCTGCCATCAGCACTTCGAGCCATCGCACCAGCTGCGCTCGTCAGCAACGACCGCTTCGACTCCACCGTGTGCCTGTCTCCTCTCTCGTTCGCTGCTTTCATCGGCCTGGGAATCCTTCTGGCCACGGCTCTATCTGCCTTCGTTTTCTACACTGCACGACCCCATCACAAGTTCTAAGCGGCAGAAAGCGTACGGCAACCATATGAGGTGATTTCACTGGTCAATCCAATCAAATGCCTATTTCTATTCAGTGCGAACTTCACTCTTCACAATACCCGTCGTTGTTGGCTCTACAGCATCGCCGCCGCCTTCTCCCCATGCTGCTGTGTCGTCGTGTGGACGAACCTCGTCCGCTCATATCGCCCTCTCTGGGTGTCGTGCAATAAACCAGTTCGTAGCGAATGAAGATTTCTATCTCAAAATACAGCATTTTCAATTACAGTCCGTAAAAAAACATACACAGCTGCACAATTTTTTCACTATACTTTCCCTTGAACCCGGTTCTACACAAGGGGGTTTTTGAACAGCATCAGCTGCCTCGTAACTTGTGGCCGTTTGCGGAACTTGAACGTGGTCCTTCAAACCGCCTCAACTTGATACTCACACCTGCGCTCTCTCGCCTAAACAGTGGCTCGGAACTGCTGTGATCTCCCACATTCGATTTTTTTGCCACACTGTGATTGCCTCACGCACCCCACTCACCCCGCTAGATTGCCCTCCTCCCCCCTGGTTCACGTATCTCCCGTGTGGCAACGTGAGGAATGGGCGGTCGGCGCCGTTCTCCAATTGTCAGTGCCCTAGCCATCCACGGCAGGACCACCAAGAAAGTTCAAGTAGTCTATGAACCGACTTGCGGCAGACCTTGCCAAGGGATCTTCTGATTCCCTTGTTGACAGTCTGTTATTTTATACGCTCTCAAATAGAAACACGGGGCATAAGCTAGCTGAATCGAGGCCGATCTCGATTTCGACCAGATCATGATATCAAAGAAGGATTCTATGACAAGGTCTTAGAATCGGAGAAAGGGATGCGGGAATATACGCGTTTCGCAGTGATCGCTATGATCCTCTTCGGTCTGACAGACCATACTCTTCCCGCTCGCGTCGCTGTCCGCCCAGCCTGTCGCCGTCTGACTGTAGCGTTCAGCAAAGAGAGCGTTAGGGCAGCATCGACAAGAGTCCCATCAATGCAGAAATCAACGGGCAAAGAAGGGGTCCCATTTCTCGATTTTTGGGCCGTTTCTCATGGCTTTTCCTCCATCCTTGCACCACTGACCACATCTACCATTTACTTTATTTCTAATGGGCTGCTTTTTCATGGTCGTAACTCCGCGCTATGATCATCATTTAATATGAACAATGAGAAAATTCAGGTCAACCCCGTCGTTGGTACTTTTGGAATTTTTTTACGGCCCCACCCCTTCATGGGCAATTTAGGTGCAATAATATGAAAACTAGAGAAAGCATTTGAATATGTTGAATCGCGCCCTGGCGATGGAGCGCGTTTGCTGATCAGAAATAGGTGACGAACGGGGATATTGAAATGTAGACGAATTTTTCTTCGGTAAATACTAAATTCAGGTACTTCGGAAGATGAAGGTGGATTTCGAATCGTTGGAGGCTCAATTTTTTCTAAGTAAAGCTCGCTTGTGTCTCAAACAATTGAAATGAATAAGTTATTAAGCAAGAAATAAAATTGCACTACAATTTTTACCTTCCTCTTTCTAGGCTATAACTTCCTTCATATTCAAGCTTTTGCGCCGAAGTGATTTGATTTGAAAATTCAAATTATTCTCTCTCCAATCATGTCTAAATTTTCTTTCAAAGTTAATTTAATAAAAATTTAGCACGTTGGAACTTTTTTCTGTGCAAGTGCGACTTTTTAACCTTCAAACAATCATAAGCTTCCTTCAAACTCGTTGAATTAAGCTGAGCTGTAGGATTCAGACTTTCACTTTCTAGAAAGTACCCGAAACGTTCTTGAAAAGTCAGAAGTTAGTCCCGTTGGAAAATACTTTTTCTTGGGGGGTTTACGAGCTATTTTTCTGCAAATGCGACTTTTCAACCTTTAAACGATCATAACTTCCTTCAAAGTCATTCATTTGGGAAGCTGAACACGGATATGACAAACTACAGGATTCAAGCTTTCTTAAAAGTACCAAAACGTTCCTGAAAAGTCAGCAGTTCAAAAATTAGTCCCGTTGGACTTTTTTTGAGGGGCATTCTTCAAGCCATTTTCTTGAAACGCGGGTTTTTTTTAGTTTCACTGGCCGTAACCTCCAGGGAAAGCAATTCTTGTTGAACATAGGATGTGTTAGAATGCTTCGAGCATGCGCTTGCAGTGGCATACCCTGCCTTGGTGTGCGCCACGCCTCGGCCGCGCTTCTGATTCGCTGATTCGATTGAAAGCTCATTCAGAAGGAAGCGGCTTACAGATGCTCTAGCATCAATTATCTTGCGAAAACGTAACTTTGCTGGCTTATTATCCGATATTGACCAATAATCCCACTGCCGGCCACAGAAGAGGTACGACTCTCCCCTAAAACCTAAACCAAGTCGACCCCCCAGTTGGTACTTGTCCCAACATAGGGTTGATCCTGCCCACAAGGTATATTCCATCAATTGGTATCAGTTGGCGATCAAAATAGTAGAAGGGTGGGTAGCATCTACCTTTCTTACTCGGCTTGTTCTAGCAGTTGCCTTGTCCGTTCTTCTTCATAACACTACCTGACCACAGAGTCGGAGCACTCCATCAAGTTAACAACTCCAGATGACGTTGTGTGCAACACCCTATTTCGTAGGTAGGATAGTGCAGTCCAAGTGTATCGCAGATGTGCCGTTGTCGCGGAAAGCAAGCAGCAATGGCGCTAGGCCCCAACAAAGTGATCTGATATCAACTAATGTGAACTTATGGAGGTACCTCGTGCACACGCCGTGATTTATGTTGTCGTTTGATGGGTTAACCTTTCTGCAGAATGGCTTTCTTCTGAAACCTGAAAAGCAGACAACATACATGTAGTGCAATCAGCAAATGATCTTCTAATCTCCTGGAACTAATCTGGGGGCTGATTCATCACTAGCAGTGTCGAGCACGTGCTACTTCCACGAAGGCGGAACAGCATCCACGGCTCTATTGAATACCCTGAAGCTTCAATATTTTCAGATCACAGTATTGCTATGAGGCAGTGTCACAACTACGTTCATCTGGGGCGTAAATGAGCAGAACCACATTTCCTTCCACTAAAATGGATGTTCAGCCTAGATGATAGCATTTTGCCAATTCTGATTTATTCAGCCTAGATGATAGCATTCTGCCAGATTCTGATTTAAACATTATGTTCCTTCCAGCTTCACTGTGGGAGCTGGCTAAAGTGATGAATTGGATACAGCCGAGAACAAAAATGAAGAACTGCGTTGAGGTGAACCATGACACTGGTGGTTCGTTGATATTCATTTGCATTCCTACAGAGGAGGTCGTTTGGTTTCGATCGCAGCCTAGGCATTTCCTTTTGCCACTTCTCATAGCATCCTCGTGTACCTCACACATTTTCTTTTCTAGCTCGACTGCTATCAGTCTACCGTAAGCACCAATACTACATGAAAGGAGGAACGAAGTCATTACCTACTTCAATTCCATTTATTTACTATTTGTATTGTTTTATTACATTAAGTAATATGTGTGTGATATAAAAAGCGATTGGGCCCCTCTAGCGTGGTCTGCTCTGGTCTGCCACGTGGGCAAGGCAATTGCGGACTATTCTGGCGCCTGACCGAGACACTAGACAATTGAGAGACAGGTGACAGGTGAGGTGATGGTTTTTCTGGCGATAGAATTATCCACGGTAGTGATTTAAAGGATGATACCCGCAAAACTTGGTGCAGTCCGCGCCTGTTAAGCTTCTCGAAGCTGAAATAGTTCTGAGGAGAGTTTATATCTTCTTATCAAGGTAGAAACCTTAGCCTTACAAGTTTCATGACGCTTCATGTTAGACTGGCGCTTTGGAGGATGCGCGAAATGTTCATTCCGGAAAGAAGCCATGTTGAAACTCAGACAAAAGAATTCATCAACCAAAAATACGATCTCGGATGGAAAAAGGATTGTGTTTTCGCTTGTGATCGAGCTATTAGGCAAGCAAATTTCTGAAGAATGCATTCCACAACATCGCGCTATCAAGGACATCTTTTGGTTTTGTTACTGCCATTTTCGGCCACCGCAACTCCACAATCAGAAACTCTCCTACCGTCGCGTGGCGAAATGTTTTGCCCACAGCTCAGCATTTCTGTGATAAACATAGTGTTTTTGCATAGAGAGTCGGTTGCCAATTCACTAATAGTTACCCCGTTCGGTTTAGCGTGAAGACCTCGCTTCCAAATACTGAGTGATAGCAAGCTGCTACGACGCTTTGCCTCATCTCATGTATGCAGCACTTGGTTGGGCTGATGTTTGCTTGCTCCTCTAAGTAGTGTGAGAGGCAGTCAGTGCAAGCGCAACATAGCCGAAAAAATACGCAGAATTCGGGTTCAATGATATGATCACGTCTCTCGTGAGTGTGGCGACACCAAATTACAAATTAGTCTCCCACCTCGTACTCGGAAAAAAGGCCTAAAAAGTGCTCAGAAAAGCAGTGGTTTGATACGTTGCACGTGGCTAGAGTTAAGTCTGCATGAGGGTAAATCGTGCGCTGAGGAATCCTCGACGAGAGCGGTCGTATCCCCAGTGAAGGAGGGGGTCGCAAGTGTCGGGATCAGTAACAAGAAGCAGTGGTAGCCTGAGAGTAATGGAAACCGCTCCTCGCGGTGAATGCTGTTCCTGGGCGAATTTAACCAGTATCGTGCGCTTCATTTCCTGTTCTTTACAGTGGAGTGAGGTCTCGGAAGGAACTTTTGAGGACGTTTGGAAATTCATACTTGAGAAAAAAAGCAAATTTTGGTTCTAACCGCATAAGCATGCAACATTTAGTCCTTCCACCTTGCAATACTTCTTCATTCATTTGAAAGCGAAACCTTGAGAATTTCGGAGCCATTTCCATATTTGAACAATACTGCCCAAAAAAGCTGGGCGTGTTAAAAGAGTGACAGCACAACGAGGACGAAAATCTTAGCAAAGGCAATCGACCGGATTCCCCCAACAGGAACACTTCTTGACCTACCCAGGTTCACTTCATAACAATGAATATA